TAATGGCACACGCAGTACTCTACATCCTCGAAACCTCGATATTGATCAGCCAGGTGTAGTAATCTAGCCACGCCATTTGTCGATCCAGCGAGATACATATATCTGTAACTTCTGCTTGCCCAACCAGTACCTGGCGAACAAGTCTGCCCCCCTGCCTTCCTGCTGGGGGCAATCTTCCTCAACGGACGGGAGTATGACTGTTCCGAAGATAGGCCGTCGACATCCGAACTTTCGTCTCCTGAGGCCACGGGAAACGGATACAAACCCCAGATATCACCCCCGTCGGGTCCACTGTTCATCAGCTCTGTGCTCCTGGCAAGGAACAGGCTGCGTCATGATGGGAAAACCATGGGCCCCATAAACAACGAGCAAGCTTCAACGTGGATCAGACGAAAGGATCAGACGAAAGGACCAGACAGATAGCATAACCATGGTGGCAGACCACGCCAAGGGTGAGTGAGGCTAACTGTTTCATGCAACCTGTCGGCTGTCACTGCTTGGTCTGAGGAAGACCTTTTCCACCATTTCCAGACCCCTTGACTGAAGTGATATTCTGGGAAGGCCCGACCACCAGCCCCTCCGCCCCCTTCTCCTCCAATCATGGCAATGGGGAGGTGAAGATACTAATGCACCTTGTCTCAACCATTCACACGGCTGTCCATCCAGCTGTTTGTCACCTTTACTCCCACCTGTTCCCATCGACGTCTCTGATAAGACCAGCTTCACTTCCAACAGATTTTCTCGCTCGCTGAGTGGTCATCTCAAGTCGGAATCTCTTCAAAATTCACCGTCCAATTTTGCACGTGGACTAGGCAGGCTCCCTGGGCTCCCACACACCTCGGACTATTCTTTGTCCGTTGACCGACCTGCTCGTTGCTGAACGCCGGTGTCCGAAAAGGGTTCGACAGCATCAAAGCACGCGACAGTAGGTCCTATGTGAGTCTCGTTGAAGCATTTTGTCCATTGCAATGTGCAGGCTCGAGTCCTATCATTGAATGCGGCGTGGCAGAACTTTCTCAAGGGGGCTAACCCTCTCCAAGCAACGCAAGGTGAATTCGAACGCAAATCAAGGCAAGATGTCCGGCATAAACAGCCCGACCAGCCCAACTCCGAAGCCAAAATCGAAGACTTATGAAGGATCGTGCCATTGCGGTAGAGTCAGGTGTGCAGGTGAATCTAGTCGCAAGGCGGGACCCGCATACTGATCGGTACCAGATTCACCATGAAGCTCTCCCCTCCTGTGGAGGACGGTCCGGTGACCAGCTGCAATTGTAAGTCTTTTAAGCGTTGCGGATCCGGCCTTAAAGGCCTCTTCCTACCGGATTAGGTTGATTGATTTGCGTGCAGGCTCTATTTGTGCCATCAACGGATATCTCATGGTCTACCCTTTGGAATCCAACATCACCTGGCTCTGTGGTTTTGACGAACTGACCACTTACACCTTCGGCAAAGAGAGAATAGCACATTCCTTCTGCTCAACTTGCGGGACGAGCATTGGCGGGAAGAGCACCGATCCCAACTTTTTTGCTGATAATCGGGCGTTGAATGTAAGTACTTGAGTCCACAAGCCATGACTTTGTTCCACCTATTTTAGTGACCTTCAACCAATTTTTCACGTCTCCTCTACTCTTGTTGTCACTTATTAGTCATAATGAGCCATCAAGCTAACGTTTCTGATTCCAGGTGCGCACACTGAAAGGCGTTGACATTGATGCACTGAAATTGAGGAAAGTAGATGGTCGAAATGCAGAGATCAAAGTTCCTTCTGATACACCTCGCAAATTGTCCCATTGATTCCGAGAAGAGTAGGCTAGCTACAAACTCGATATCATCTCAAAATCAAAAGAAGGGGGGCAAATGGGAATCAATGCACTGCTGGAATTCATTGTTACATCCTTCACCCATATTCCCTGTGTGGGCATCATTCTGATTCTGCTTCTTCCACATGTACAGGAAAGTCAATGGCCGCATCATATCGACCCCGAATAAAGAAGAGTTGTCGAAACCCGGATTGATTCTCAATCACACCTGAAGCGTCTGTTTTGTTCGTTTCGCGTGAAATCAAGCACCGATCATCTCCTCAAGAGACCCGCCGGGGGGGGACTGAGTCGTGGGTACGGAAATGGAGGCTCCCTGCCCCTACATTTATTGATCAGGAGGATTTTGCGGAATTGATTTGGAGATCGAGCGGGCCGCTTTCGAGAGGAAGTCCCGCTCGAGTGAGCGTCTTCACCACCTACTAGTTAGTCAGATTGTTACGGAGTTTCATTCCAATACCATATCTGACGATGGCCTCCGCCTCAAAGAGGATTTAATGATTTCAATCATCGATCTAAACAGTCCCCCATCTCTCCCAGCCGAATTTCCACTGCATTTTCGTGATCACTTTAACCATGGCTTTTTCTTTTTTCAAGGCAGAATACCACACAAGAACTCCTCTAGCGCCTGTTTGAAATGCTCGCCTTATTTCACAATCCTTTGTTTGACGCTTATATTGGAAATACCATTATCCCCATTGATGCCTGTGCTCCTCGGAAAATTGTCAACGACGCTAGACAAAGACTCTTTCTGGGCCCTCCTCTTGTTCTTTGCTAGGAGCCTCTCCTCCTTTACACTGATGTTGGTAGCATATACATCACCGTCCCCAGGGCCGTCAACCCAACTCCAGCCCACCACCATCGATCGGCATTGTACATGTCGCCCGGCCGTTGCTGGATAATTTTCGAGTCCCTGTTCAACGGCTGGAGGACTTCCTGCTCGCCATCTCCTCCGTCCGTCCGCTTGACCCGCAATTTCCCCGTCGCACTCGGTGCACTCGTGGGATTGAGTGTCTGCGTCGGAAGCATCTGGGGCGGGCTGTACATCAGATACATGGGCTGCATGGGGCTGCCATCGAACTTGTACAAATTCAATCTGGGCACGTTGTGGAAGGCGTCGGTGAGGACCTGGTAGGATTTGAAGAGTTCGGGTTGTTCGTAGCGGATGTAGATGGCGTTGTCGTAGGAACAAGGGGCAGATGTGAGCTGGCGGCCGTCCACGCCGAAGGGGGTGAGGACGATGGAGCCGTTGCCCGGTAAAGAGTAGGTGCCGTGCTGCCATTGCATTATGGAGGATGGACATTGAGGAGTTGTTGCTATGAGAATGTGTTAGCATGGTCTTTTGCGGTTTCTTATGTACCAGGGGCCAGGGCCCCGAGATTCCTAGCTGGGGTATCTTCCATGCGAATGGAAAAGGGGACGATGCATACGATTTGAGACAGCCCGATAGTATGCCTCTTCATAGTAGCCGTCGCTAGTGAAGGAGTAGGAAATTCCCGCCAGGTCGGGCTCGATTAATTTATCTGCGACAGGATCATAGAAGCCCTAGCCACCCAGGTTAGAAATTCGAATCAGAAGAGTTGGCGACTTCACATGTAGACAATGGAGATAACCCCTTACCGGACCAGTGACGACCTTTTTGGACTTTGTCGTCCATGTGCCCACGAGCGCAGCATCAAACTGCGCTCTCACAAGGCCCGCCAGGCCAAGCGAAAGAGTTAAGACCGTTTGTATCGAGGTGATCATTGTGGCATTGTTTTGCGAGATTGTGAGGGTGTCGAGGATATCGAGGCGGGACGGAAAGCGATAGTTGTGTATTCCGCAGACAAGTACGAAAGAGAGAGAGGACGGACGTCTGCAGTCGTTGGTCGTTGATGCAATCTGTCTGACTTTGCAATCTGGGATTTCTCACCCTTGAGGATGGCTCGCTGCTCGCCTTGGGGGGGATGTTGACGCGGAGGCTGAGGCGCATGTGCAGGGGTCTCGGAGCGCGGATTTGCATGCGGACTGGAGCTTGGTTTGAGGCTGGGGGGCGTTTGTCAGAATCAAACGTTTCAAAAATAGCTCCTACGCTCGCTGGTTTATGTATCGCAGTAACTCGGCTTTCCATCCATAAAGCACTGCTGCTTTGCCATCGATCATATTACCTTCGCTTAAGGCTACAAAGCGCCGGTCACGAAATTAACCCAGAAGTTCGTGATGCACGAATGCGGCAGTCACTCCGGGGACGTTGCTCGATGAAATCGTGGTCGTCGGTTCCAACTCTGCGAACAATGACGACTATGGCTCTGAAGGATCAAAAGGCAGCATTGCGAAAGAGTGTAGGAGAGGAGCTAAAGAAACTTGACTCGAAGGAAATTGAAAAACAATGTAGGGAGCGTCGCACTGCGGATATCGATCCTAGCTGATGATGAAAGCGGCCATCATCACGGAGCACGTGCTGCAGATGCCAGCTTATCAAAAAGCAAAATCAATGGCTATATTTTTGTCGATGCCTGGCAGGGAGGTGTCGACTCGTGATATTGTTCTGCATGCCCTGGACAGTGGGAAGTCGGTCTTCGTACCATATCTTCATGCAGGCGAAGCCCCGAAGTCAAAGGTAATGGACATGTTGCAATTGCAGGATAAGGATGATTTTCACTCGTTGAACCCAGATGCTTGGGGCATTCCATCGCTTTCCAAGGATTCAGTTGAAAGAAGAAGTAATGCTCTTGGTGGAATCGGCATCTGGAATCGCTCTTCGGAAGACCAGCAAGATCCTCCAACTCTGGATCTAGTATTCATGCCAGCGGTGGCTTTCGATCAATCCCACCGTCGCCTCGGCCATGGCAAAGGCTTCTATGACCGCTACCTCTCCAAATATAAAGACACACTCGCCAGGAGCCAAAGCGGACGGCCAATGCCCCTCTTGGGTAAGTGCCCGACCACTCAGACTCTCCCAGTGGCTTCACAACTAATCCCTCTCTTGCAGTGGGGATCGCCCTTCGCCAACAAGTCCTGCTGCCGGGCGAGACGATTCCTGCGGACGACCATGACTGGACAGTTGACCAAATAGTAGTTGCTGATGTCGAATGAATGCGCTCATGGCATCGTCTCGTCCAACACAACTTGAATTCCGTCCGAGTTGATGCCCCGGTGGATATGGCGCTTTTTGGGTGACTGGAATAAGGCAAAGTGTCTCGCTCACTCTAGTCCAGAGACTGAATCAACGAGACATTGTCGCCCTTCAATAGGATCTGTCCTAGAAGTTATCAGCCGCAGCCCTAGCTCGAGAAGCTCAATCCAAGTCATACCCAGCTGCCTCCTCTTTTCTGGGGTATCTCTCGTAGCTAGTTGTACCTCGACCGCATCATCAATCACCAGGTTCATGAATTCGTCAAAGCCCTGTTCGTCGGTCAGTCGCACAACTCCTCGAGCCCAGTGAAGGCACGCACCCTGATCTTTCCCTCGATGCGCGTGCGCAAATTCTCGTAGAGCCAAATGGAGACCGTAGAGCGCTTTTGCAACAGACTGAAAATGAAATGGATCGGCGCGAGCAGAGTTTTGCGGGCACCACCGCCGCCGCGTCCAGTCATTGTGGGCACAGTTTGCAACGTAACTGTATGCTTTGGGTTGGATTTGTTCTAGAGGGGCGTTTGCTCATAAGATTCTAGCAGTCTTGCAGGCGAGGCGTTCAGCTATCAGTTGTGTGGAAGAGCTTTCGTGGCCTTGACAAAGAAGAAGTTTTGGCGCAGGACTGAAAATCAAAAATGCGGAGCAAGGCTGAAGCGGGAGACGAGGCTCGCAACCTAATCAAAAACTGAGGTCATTTCCAAAACATCTGATGTCTGCGGATTCGCAGCCACTGTCTTTCCTTTCGCAACAGTTTTGCCGTGACCCCTGTCTTCTAGGTCTACCACTTCTGCCTCCATCGTCTATTCGTTTTCTCGCCGAATGACAACAACCGCACTGTCACCTTCGCTGCCCGGCCGAGACGCCTGTAAGCTGCCCCTCATTTTCATCACCTTCATCTCCTTCAAGCGCCATGGCCGATAAGACGAACGCTGCGAGCGGCTATGCGCCAGTACTTTCAGCTCTGGCGACCATGCAGAGCGGTGCTGCCAAAGAAGAGAAAACCAATGCCCATGAATTCCTTGAAAAGTTTCAGAAATCGGTTTGTGCCATTCCTATAGAAACCATGAAACAGTCATACTCATTTGGCAACAGTTGGAAGCATGGAACACCACTCATGCAATCTTGCAAGACTCGTCGGCTCCGGTAGAGGCCAGGCTATTTGCTGCAACCACACTGAAGGGAAAAGTCTGTGCTCTCAGCCCGTCTGCAAAATCCCGCACTGACCTTCTCAGATCACCTATGACCTCCATCAGCTCCCAGCCGACGCCCTCACACCTCTCCGAGACTCTCTCCTCTCTTTGCTTCAACTCTACATCTCGGGTCCTCGACCTATTCGGACGCAATTATGTGTATGCCTGGCGATCCTGGCAATTCAGTTGACATCATGGAAAGACGTCTTGAGAACAGTGGGAGCAGCTGTGGGCAACAGTAGCGACGGCGGAGACTGTCTGCTCGATTTTCTGCGCATCTTACCAGAAGAAGTCACAGAAGGCCGCAAGATCAACCTTTCAGTATGTTCGACCACGCAGCATGTGATGCTCGACTCTGCCGCAACACCACCCTGGGAACCGATCACAGTCTAATCCAGCATAATATAGGAAGAGGAACTTGCCGATCGGACCAAGGAACTCCTAGAGGACAACTCCGCTCAGGTCTTGAGTCTTTTGGTCTCTTACGCCCAATCATCAAGTAAGGATCCGTCCTCTTGTCATATCGGAACCGCTGACATCGTTCTTTAGCCCAAGCTGCTCACAATCCTCACCTGTATTCCTGTATCGCATCATGGCTTCGGGAAATCCCCACAATCGACATTGTGAACTCGCCTCTTCTGAACGAAATCATCGACGCCCTCCAAGATAGCGATTCCTTCGAAGCGGCCGTTGATTGCCTTTGTACCATGTTCAGAGACACCCGAGATGTCGACGAATCACAAAGCGTTATTCGAATACTCTATCCCAGAATTGTCAAGCTGAGGCCCATGATCGCAGAAGCCGCTTCCACGGAAGACAACGACCTGATGAAAGGCATTACAAGACTTTTCGCGGAGGCCGGTGAGGCATGGGTTGTGCTCATTGCACGCATGCCGGACGATTTCCGTGAGCTCGTCGAATGTGTCCTGGAATGTTGCGTACGTGACAAGGACCGAGAAGCCATTTCGGTCACGTTCATTTTCTGGTATGAACTCAAGCAGTCCCTGACTCTCGAAAAATATATGCCCGCTCGAGCGGCCCTCGCGGATCTCTACTCGAAACTCGTGGATGTCATGATCAAACACCTCGAGTTTCCCACGCCTGAAAACGGCGATGAGAAGGACCTCTTTGATGGGGATCGAGAAGCAGAGGACAAATTCCGCAGTTTCCGGCATAACATGGGCGATGTCCTGAAGGACTGCTGTGAAGTCATTGGCGTCACAGAGTGCTTGACAAAGGCCTTCTCTCTGATACAAACTTGGGGACAGAAATACGCTTCGCAGGTTTCAGGCACCACTGTACCACATTGGCAAGAACTCGAAGCGCCGCTCTTCAGTCTAAGAGCAATGGGCCGCATGGTCAGCCCAGAGGAAAGCACCGTGCTTCCACAGGTCATCCCTTTGCTTACCACAGTCCCAGATCACGAGAAGCTGAAGTTTCAAGCGATCATGGCCCTGGCTCGCTATACTGAGTGGACTGCTCAGCATCCGGAAACGCTTGAGGCACAGCTCAACTATGTCATATCCGGATTCAGTCACAGCTCCCAAGAGGTTGTACAGGCGGCAGCATTAGCCTTCAAGTTCTTGGGCACTGACTGCCAGAAGTTGCTGGGCGATCACGTCCCGCAGCTCCATAACTTCTATGAGAGCGTTATCGACAAGCTCAAATCGACAAGCCAGGAAGAAGTCACTGAAGGGGTTGCAGCGGTTGTCGCAGTGCAACCCGTTGGCAAGATCTATGAAACCATGAAGTTGTTCTGTGATCCAGTCATGAGGAGAGTGGTTGCACTTGCTGCACAAGCCACGGATGAAAATGCTGAGAAGACTGTCGCTGACTACCTAGGGCTGATGACAATCTTTTTCGAGTGGGTACAGCCCTACGTTTCGCCATCTGAAGAGAACCCAGCAGTCAAATATTGCCAAGAAGTGCTCCCGGCTCTTTCACAAATGGCAAAGCACTTCACCCGGTCCATGCCGATCCTGGAGAGAGTTTGCAAGTGCTGGAGATCCATGGTCATATCCTATCGAACCGCCACGGCTCCACTTCTGCCCACGCTTGCGACTAGTATCGCCGAGGGCTTTGAAGCATCACGACAAGGCTGTTTCCTGTGGGCAACTGACGCTGTAATTCGAGAATTCTCGTACGGGGCGGAATTCGTTGACGAGGCGACGAGCGACAACGTCTATCGATTCTTTGCCCAGCAGGCCACGGTCTTTTTCAGAATACTCGCAGAACTACAACCCGTCGAGCTTCCCGATGTTATCGAGGACTTCTTCCGCCTGGCTTCTGATGCCGTCCGATTCTATCCCCGGAAAACACTTACCTCGAACCTCGCCTTGCCGATGGTCAACGCATCATTGACGGCCCTCACACTGCAATCACTGGAACCAATTCAAGCTACATTGCACTTCTTGAGAGATTTCCTTGATTTTGGATTTGAGAAACCGCCCATCTCCAACTTCAACGGACCTAATGGTGAACCAACGGCCGGGAACCCTCCAGAAGTCCAAGCAGCGGTGAGGCAAGTTCTGAGTTCTACAGGACAGGAACTTGTGCACCGAGTCTTGACCGGCATGATGTTCAGCTTTCCGGAGGATTGCTTTCCAGACGCCTCTGGCGTTCTCTTGTCTTTGTTCAGCTTGGCACCGCAGGCGGCAGCTCAATGGGTTCAAGGGACTTTACAAGCTTTGCCAGCAGGCACACTAAAACCAGCCGAAGCGAATAAGCTGATGAAGGGCATCAGCGACAAGCTACAGCAAAACGAACCACGAAAAGTGCGTGTGTTACTCCAGGACTTTACGAATTCGTATCGACGACGGATCGTGGCGCCGCGTGAGGGATTGGGGAGATTGGAAGCGGCAAGGTTCAAGTTCAGCGGCTGATCGAGAGGATGGACGCCGTGCTCATGGACAATGGCACCCCTTCTATGGGAAATTTACTAAATCACCCTGTGCAGAACAACGAATTGAGTTGGTGTCATTTCTCGAGCATCTTTGGGCGTAACTCCTTTCAAGGCGACTTTGACTGGCAGGAACAGGAACCACATCTACAACTGATACCAGATTTCTTTGCTCTTGATACGAAAACAATGCAATTCGATACAACATGAATCAACCTGAAACCAAGCGTACATCTCTAGACAGTACTCATGACTTTTCACCAATGAGGACACCCATCTGCTGGCATGGATATTCGTGGTGAAGTTCAGTACGCCCTTTTCAACCAGCAGGGACCGGCGGAGGGCGAGTACATAGGGCACAAAGAGTCTACTCAGGAAAAGGGGGAACCACCAACCTACGCAACAATAAGGCGCACTACGATCAGGGTCGGGACGACGATAGAGTCGAGCAAGCCCCGGCTTAGCTTAGCTGAGGCCATATAGCATAGCAAGCCAAAGCCCAGCTACAAACTGTTGGTAGTTACGGTTTCCTTGCCACGTAGATAGTGAGACAAGACGCCGGAAGGGGATGATGAGAAAAAGGGGGAAAGGGGGGGGTTGGCAAAGGAGGACGAGGAGCGTTCCATGGCGATCGGAAAACGTCAGAAGGAGAGAAAGGAAAGGGCATCGAGAGAAAGTAGCTCGTAAAGAAGATGAAGGAAAACGGAGAAAGAACTTGATGCGAAGCCATTACTTATTTACTGATCCTATCTCTGATTCTCATCCTATTCTATCCCGCCCAGCACCTTAATCACAGCCACCCCTCTATAATAAAATCCTTTTCTCGAAGCTCGATGGTCAGTGAGTACCGAGCTCGAGAAGTCCGTGTACATTGATGGATCCATCTTTCACGCCGAGCTCGCTACTTACCTACCTTCGTACGTATCTATTCATATAGCTATATATACATGTGGACGTGGATAGGTGGCCTACGAGGTACCTAATATGCTCATTGCATATACGACCGCCAGAAGTGGGCGCGAGCGGTAAAGGGGGAGGAAATAAGCAAGGACACGTAAAAGAATCGCAAGACCTGAGAAAGAAAGGACAGCGAATCTGGGACTTGCGATCTCGATTTCTTTTCTCGGGTGTCTGGGTTACGTATCTATGTACTCCGTATTTAGGATGCACAGGTTATCCTTTCCTTTCCTTTCCTTTCCTTTCCTTTCCTTTCCTTTCCTTTCCTTTCCTTTCCTTTCCTTTCCTTTCCTTTCCTTTCCTT